ACGTCTGGGTCACCAATTGTTAGTGGCTTAGTAGATTACTACGACTAGTTGGCGGATTGAAAATATCAGAAGGTGTGCACTAACAAAAATGGAGTATAAGTATTGAGGCGTGTTCGTTATGTATCAGTACAGTAAAGATATAAAAAAGGAGAGGCCGGCCCTAAGAATACAATGTACTAAATAGAATTTAATAGTGTTACTCAAAAATAAGGTAATGAGAAAGTGGTGACTTATCTCACAGCACAAATCCTGTTCGTGGGGAAATTGTAGGTCGCGGCCTGTCCGGTCGTGTGAGGATTGTCTTGTCGTCGTGGGCGTAGCGCTTTTTGTGACGGTTGTCAAAGCACCAGTCGGGACGGTCGTGTGACGTTCGTTGTAGTCGGTCGGGGTATCGTTGTCGATGTACTATGCGGTTTATATAATGCTTCATTCAGGCGTTCAAACAGGTGGGCCGTAAGTAGTACGATGTGTGAATGTAGGTCAAGGGGAAGAGAAGTACACAATGTGAGAATGTGTTATCCGAGACAATCTCGATAAGAATGAAACAGTTTTGTTATGTTGACCTCGGTCGTGATGTAGGTCACGCGACTCAATTACACGATGTGAGGATGTGGTATCCAAGGCAATCTCGATAAAACTAGGTTTTATTAGGTTGACCTCGGATTTAAGTACACGTGCACGTGGTGATGAAATCTTCCGTTCCGAAGATAGTGTAACGGAATCAAAAGTGCATGTGCAATGCGACCTCACAAGCTTTACGGATTCCTGGTTGGGGTCCAAAAGACGATGAACACGTTTCGCTGCAAACGCTTGCTGACATGGCAAGGAGCCGACCTCATTGACGTCCTTGTTGAGTTTCTTTATTCCTCCCCATCCCTTTTTGCCTACCCTCCATCTACCATCTTGTTTCCCAGCGTACAACATAATTTTTCTTTTTGCCTAATAACCGGCTGGTAGCTTATCGGAACGATGCCCATCCGTTGCTGGTAGCTCAGCTGGTATGCAACTGTTGTATTTGTTTTTCTTTTCCTTTCTGTACAGCGGCACAGTAGCTGAGGTGTTTCCAACTTCTAGCTGACGTGTATAATGAATGAATGAATGTGGTAATGTTTTCTGAACCGAAGGCTTTGGTTGAGAGTCCTAATCGTTTTCATGTCTAGGCTTGGGCAATCTCACAGTATTTTGCCCACGCAATACAACTATGACTTCTTCAAAGCATCACTTGATGCTCTGGCCGCCACAAAGGATAATAAACGGCGCCCTATCTGCTGCATTGATCAGGGTAAATAGGGGTTTGAATGCTACTGCTCAAGCCTTCCGCCTTCTTATACCTCCTTTTGCGCTTTTTCATCCTTACCGTCCTGCTTCAACTTCACTTTCAGCCCCCAATTCTTGGCCCTCCCCCACCTTGCTTCTATAGTCGCTTGTCTTCTAGTTTTAACTCACACACAATCGCAGGGCGTCGCTCCAGTCCAGTCGACAAGTCCGTGTTCAACCAATCGGACGTCAGTTTATCCGTTTCTCTTTGGACTCCTCGATCCTCGCTATGACTGGCTTGTCTCAACGTGGACACTGCTGCAGATTGGCCAACTGGCAGCACTTTCCCGAACACTCGAGACCCTATCGACCGATATTTGATGTTTATCAGAAACCCGCCTGCAAGCTTCGAGCTCTGTGCTTACCCTGCGATCCCCCACATGTGACATTGGCGGCACATTCTCATTGCATCTGTCTGGCGATGGCGCAGCTTCAAGTGCTGGTCAAGCTGGTGTCGGCATTGTGTTGTGTCCTCGGATTGAAGCTGACCTGATCGACTGGATCCCTATCAACAGCCGGATGTGCGCCGTTAGATTAGCTGGCTCGTTCCAGGCTTCGTAGTCACGCGAGGTCAAACAGTGTCTGTTTGTCATGGCGGCTTACGCCCCAACAAACTGCAGCCCTGATTCGGTGGAAGAAGATTTTTATCACCAACTCAACCATCTCCTTCGTTACAGAAGAAGCACGGATACTGTTGGTGCTTGCTGGTGATCTGAACACCCAAGTCGAAAAATTGCCCTCTGATGTGTTTCAACTCGGCAGCCAACATGGTGTAGGATTCCGTAATGGTAACAGTGAGTGGTTGCTACACGTGTGTAAAAATGTTCCTCTCTTTCTCGCGACCACTAACTTTCGACACAGCATCCGCAGAAGTGTGAATTGGCACCCACCAGCCATGGACGCAAATCGATCAAATGGCTATCAGTTACCGCTGGAGAGGCTGTGTCCAAAATTCTCGCTGGGTTTGTAGTGCGAGCGTGGACTCCGATCGCGCTCTTGTGTGTGCCGGCCTTCGGGTGCGTTTCGGTTGACGCCTACAATGCAGCTGTGGGCACCTTGACACGAACCAACTGCCGAAGCCACGTGTTCTGTATGCGTGTCAAAGTACGCTGGCTGAGTATGCGCCCACTGAACACCACCGAAGATCACTGCTTGCCTATTCGCCAAACTTTATTATCAGCAGACGTCTTGATGTGGCAAATCGAATTGCCAAGCTGGACATTGGATCTCTACAAAGTCTCAGGAACTTATGGATGCTCGCCGACATATTCTGGTTGGGAGCAAATACAACGAGACTCGCAAAAATCGCAGAGCAAACTGCGTGCTAGCCTGAAGAGAGACCGCGAATCCTGGTGGTCTCATCGTGCATCTGAAATGGAAACAGATCAACGTAGGTTATTCCGTCTGTTACGGGAAACAAGCAGCAGCTGACCTTGTGTTAGCGAGACAATACGCGACGAGCATTGAGCCTAACAATTTGCAAGGAAGTTTAACCAATCTGAGTTATCGCTTTTTTGGGCATTGTGTGCCATTCTCCATGGACCGTCTCTCTAGATCCGCCCTCACGTGCAGAAGTCGAACTTGAGATCAGATTGTTGAGATTGCATGAGGCTGTCGTGGCATATAGAATTCCCCCAATCCTCTTCAATGTGGTAATCATGTGGCAATCATAGAAGGATCAGTCTGATCTTGTTTGCCTCCAAGTTCCTTGCGTCTGTCGTTCTCCACAGACTGATTGGCACTCGTGAAAGCCAGCTATGTGAAGCGCAAACCGGGTTTCGTCGAGGTCGGGACTGCATCGACTACATCTTCACTTTGCGTCAATTGTTGGAGCAATGTTGTTTATTGGCGACCCACCGTTGTCGTATTTTTCGATATAATGAGTGCCTTCGATTCGGTTGATCGATGCACCCTTTGGGACTGCTTAGGAAACTTGTGCTCACCAAAATCGTGAACATTATTAGAGCGCTGTACGTGCATAGTTCGAGCAGAGTGAGGGTGTATGACAAACTGTCGCAGCCCTTCAATATCTTCAGCGGTATGAGACAAGGTTGCCCGCTGTCACCTTTTCTCTTTAACTTCGCCATTGACGAAGTCCTGGAAACAGCATTCGCTGAACCCGATCTGGAAGGTGTTGGAGCTATTTACTGCTGAGCGACTTCTTGATTTGGCGTATGCGGAGGATATTGCTTAAATCTTTGACAGCTTCCGTACGTGCGAAGTAGCATTGGCTGTCAATCGTTGTGGACTATGCTTTGCTCTATCAAAATGCAAAGTCCTCCTCTAAGGTTGGCAGATATACACGCCTGCGCTGACCCTTGGTGGTGATCACTTTGAAGTCGTTCAGGAATTTAAGTACTTGGGCAGCTATATTAGCCGCCTTGAGATCAAAGGTGAGGTCACGAACCGTATAGTAAAAGGTCGAGGTGCTTTGCCACTCCGCATCCTTTGGCGTCGGTGCGTCATCACTGTCGTCCTGATGGGCAGAGTTTATAATGCAGCCTTCCGTTCAGCCCACTTGTACGGTTGTGAAACCTGGCCCATCAGATAGACAGATATAAAGAGGCTAATTACGTTCGTCCATCGCTGCCTTCGCAGCTTAGCTCATGTCTGGTGGGAGCATTGCATGAGCAATGAGCGTGTTCGGCGTCGCGTATTTGGTGCAGGAAGTGCGAGTGAACGGCTCAGCACCATTATATCACGCACCAGGCTCCGATAGCTGGGCCAGAGGTTGCGCATACCAGCACACCGACTATCGTGACGTGCTTTGTTTGCTCGCCGGGAGTGCGGTTGGAAGAGGAGGAGGGCGGACCAAGCGATGATTTGGTCGAGAGAAATGAGAACCCTCACTTCGAAGTTGGCGTCGGTTGGTGCATCCCGACTGCCTGGCTGGGGTTTGAAGGACGATGAACATGTTTGGTTGGACACACTTGCTGTTGTGGCGAAGAGCCGGTTCCGATGGCGTTTGTGTTGTTTCTTTATCCAACCCCTTCCCTTTTAGGTTTCCCTTCCAATTCCGATCTCATACGAATTACATAATATACCATTTAACATTATATTACCTGCTTTTGAATTTTCTTATCGTGTAACATTTCTGTATCTTATCTTTTCGTATTGAGACACTAGGTGAGCAGTGTTTCTCACCCTCAACTAACGTGAATTGATTGATTGAATAATTGTTTGGTGTCTATCTGCCTGATTCTAGCTGCAACGGATCTTCACCAAACTATTCTGATACGTTCGTGAGCCCCCGTACTTCGTCACTGTTTTACTACCGTTTGACTTTCTTGATTAGATATTTCTACCACAGTTTGTAAGATGCACAATTCAGTCATCGTAGAATCAATTTTTGCATGATCACACCAACTTCGGTGTGCATTGTGAAAATCGAGAATAAACATTCATTTATTTTAGTTCATCGCAGTTAGATTGCAAGCCAGATGGGTCACTACCAATCCGGAAGGCACCAGCCGCTTGTTTCGCCCCACTTGGGCCGCCTTCAAGGAACCTACTCCATTATGGCTAGTGACTTGCACCACTACTTGCTACGTGCATACATACTTTTATGTCTTTTAGCTTATTGTATCATTCTGCCTTTATTTTCGATTGATTCTTTTACCCCACTCCTTTCTGCATTTTAGAATTCAGTATTGCTACTATACTAATCAATCTTTTAGTTTCATATGGAAGACACTGCAAGCCCCCCTAGCTCAAAAAGTGATTGCAGCCCTCACGGCACACACAGCAGCCACCACTCCTCAAGAAGCGGCAGCCGACATAGCGAATATTCTTGCTATGGACGTAGTCGTTCACGACACTCGACTCGCAGTCGCTCTCGTTCCCGTTCCCGAAGTCGCTCTGCCTACACGGACTCTGGGTCGTTTTCGAGGTCTCGTTCATACCGTTCCAGGTCTTGGTATGGTTCCAGATCACCGTCTGGCCGTTACAGCTCCAGATCCAGGTCACATACTCGCTCCAGATCTCGTTCTCACTCTCGTGGAACTCGACGCTCTTATTTACCCAGACGGACCAGTAGCCGGTCTCATCCATCGGAGCGATCCCGTTCGAGGACCCATTCATCGTCGTCCCCTGCCTCTTTATCTTTCGGCACAGTGCTTAGCAAAGATCCTCGAGATAGATCCAAACGAATCACTTGGAAAAATAGCGTTAGTCAATTGTTTTATTTGTTTGATGCGCACTCTTTTTGCGTTCATGTTGATATCTATCAGTGTTGCACAGCTTCTTTTTATGGATTAAATTACAATTTATTCGGTTTCTTTACTTTGCTACAGCTTCCGAATTGGAAAGTACAGCACATGCGCGGAAAACTAGACGACCGTTTCATCCCATCGTTTCCCATTAGTAGTGCGCACGTATTAGCCCCATCAGGATCTAAACTTAGGGGGTCTCTGTCACTAGTTTGCAGCTTATGTCACCAAACCATGGGGGCCAGTGATAGACCGTTATGACGTGCTCTGTATTTATTATTCAAGCAGTCTCAATCCCCTCACGTTTGTTGACGTATTTGCGAAATTCTGACGTCTGATTTGCTGATGTTACGTGTGTCGATTGCCTTCTGGCTTGCCGAACAGCCTCCTCGTGGTGCCAGCTGGGTGGTTCGGGATTTTCCCGTTCCAGCAAATCGTTCAGAGGCAGTGTTTCAGGACGTGGTGGGTTTTCGCCTGACAAGCGTTCTCCCTATAAAAAGCCACATATGTCCGTTTAACAACACTGTGACGTGGCGAACGTGACTCGCCACTAAATAAAGTCACTGCCCCTTGCTTCATCCTGGCGAAGCATTGTATCCCAGCAAATTTGTGCTGTAATTCTAGGGAGCATTGGGCCCCTGTTTGGCAAAGGAACAAACGTAAGGCGTATGAACTGAGCAATCAGTCACCGGCTCCCAATGGGCGCGATTCCCTGAATTCGCTCCGCTGCCTTGCGGGCAGGCTATTCAGCCCAACGCTCGGGGTGGTGTCCCCTAAGTCAACACCCTACTTCGGCTTGGGCAACCGGGTAGTATCTCGCCTTCCGAGGAAACCATGGACATTGTTGTGTTGTGTTTTATTTTACTGTTTCTGTACCTTCGTTTGAATCCCATGGTTTCTGATGGCATTATGTCTGTTAGCTGACTTTTGCAAATATATAAATGTTTAGTTTACAAGTCGTGTGCTGTGGGTTAAACATGATGCTGAAAACGATGTGTCAATGTGATCGAGAACCAGAGAGTAGGCGATCCCTGCCTTGACACATTCTTTATGTGCGCATAAGCCAAAATCATGAAACCGAATGGTGATCCCTGCCTTGACACATTCCTTATGTACGCACAGGTTAAAATCATGAAATCGAATGGCGATCCCTTCTCCTACCTCCAGTACACAGCACTTAACCGCTCGTGTTTGGCGTCTGGATACGCGGTAGATGAGATGGAACGTCTCCCTTGCCTTTTTCAATTCAGATTCACTAGATGTGCAAGCGCGGCGTTTGATCTACTTTCTCCTCTATACAGTCAAGCTGGACAATGCTGATGGGCTCTGTCGAACAGTCATGGTGGTTCTTCCGATATACCTGGCGGTGGTCGCACGGCAACGAAGCACCGTTACGGCGTACAGCTGACACATTATTATGAAGACACAGAAGAACTTGTACTAGGAATCATGCCGTTAAGTTATTGATACAGAATTTGCGCTGAATTGGAGCTTAGTTCTAAGGTACCGTATATTACTGTGTATAAGCTGAGGAATTTTGGACAATTTTCTATGTCTCTAGTGAGGGGGTCGGCTTATACAAAGGTTACACACAATTTGAAAAAATCACACAAAACCCACCCAGAAGTGCACTGCACACCTATGCCCCTATGTTGCCTTGACACCACTCGCTAGTGACGGAAGTATACTAGGCGGGGATTTGAAGTGCCTATAGGTAGACACATTATGTTTGTGTCGAAAATTCTCGGTATATTGCACATTTGACTTTCGCGACGGATGGCAGTAACAGAAACATACTGATTATACAGAATCGAACACCATCACACACAATAACATTGGAAAAAGACATGACAGAACAGCACGTACCGGTAGATTTTATAGGCTCACATATCCAAACGCTGCACAGTGGTATTAAAATTACTCGAATCTTTCGCAACTAAAATCCGAGTCAGAATCTCTAAACAGTTTCTCGTACTGGCCCTCTGTCATTGGGACGTTAGGGTGAATATCGTCATCTTCAACTTCACTGCTCTCGTCACTGTCCTATTCCTCAAAAATGGCATCTCATTTCCATCCATAGCGTTACTGATGCAGTGCTTTTTTGGTTGCTCGTGCGATAATTTCTGATGGAATATCCAGCCACGCTTCTTTCACCCACTGTCTTACCTGTTTCGTTTGACTTGACATCTAATCAATACACTGTCCAGTGCGGTTAAACTCTTTCTTCTGACGGCTCTAAGCCCCACTAACTGCGATCATAACACATTAGGTAGCCAGAACTGACCAATAGCGGTGCAGCTTTCGCTTGAGCACACTCAATTGAGAGCAGGTAGTGATAAAGTCAAAACCGTGAGAAACGATTCTGTCTCTTTTTGCTGATATTTTGGGGTCAGCTATTACACGGACTTAAGATTGGACAAATTTGACGTTGAAAAGTCATACTGTCGGCTTATATACGAATCGGCTTATACACGGTAATATACGGTAGCTATCTAGTAGCCTTGAGCAGTGGCAGACAGCCTTGTGGATATCGATTCCTCTATCCCGCTCCCCTTGAATGACAGTAATAGGTAGACCTATTTCTTTCCTTTCCTGAGGCTCCATATTCTTCCGAACGAAATCTGAGTAGCCGTTTCTCTCGAATAGACTTCGCTTGATTATATATATATATATATATATATATATATATATATATATATATATATATATATATATATAACTTCTCGAATGTGTGGTAAACTGTTCCTAACTTAGGAACAGATCAGTATTTACAGAAATGCTCTTGCATGCGTGCATATTGTCGCCAATTCTTAACTTTTTAGATATTTTTTGGACCATCCTGGCATATTCCATCGGGTATGTTGTCGGATGAGAATGTGGCTGATAACACTTTTAGATCTTGGAATCTGTCGAGTTTGGTATGGAACGAAGTGAGGTTTTCAGATGTCCTGATTGCGGTTGGTAGGCAGCTCCACAAGATGATGATGTTTAACTCTTTCGCTAGCTCACCTTTTCCGACTCAGTGGAACAGCTTGCAAAATTGGTTAACTACCCGTTCTTTAGACCCTCCGCTCGATCAATCCTCGGTCCGTCCATCTAGATGTCTAAGAGGATAACGTGTTATTTCACTCAAATTCCAGGGTGAACTTAATCTTTTTGGGCAAGGGTGACCATCTGTGATGTTTGGTATGTCGTGTACATAACGTCCGTGATAGACTAGACTATTATTCATTACCAAGCTAGTCGTTCTCCAACTCACTCCTCAAAACATCTTCCATTAACGATCCTAACAGTTAGGCCATTACAACTCCGTCTTCTTGTATGTTGCATCGTCTCGTCAGACAGGAATTTTATGTGCACTTCAGAAGCAACCGTTTACGTCAGTCATCCCAGGCGATGTGATCTGATGATATCATATAGGCCAGCTGGGTGGTTCGGGTTTACCCCGTTCCAGCAAATATTTCGGCGGCAGTGTTCCAGTACGTGTTGGGTTTTCGCGTGGCGAGCGTTCTCCCTATAAAAAGCCACAAATGTCTGCTTAACAACACTATGACGTGGCGGTCGTGACTCACCACAAATTAAAGTCACTGCCCCTTGGATATCCGGATAATCCTTTCCAACCCACGGACATCAATGTTCTACTCCCACATTACTGACGATATCAAACATTCAAACATGGAGCAGCACAATTACAAGCAAAAACTACACAGCTACATACACACACACACACACACACACACACACAATTGGTTGGCGGCGTCCGGTTTCGGATTTGCCTGTCACTATGGCCAGCCACAGGACGCCTGCGCCTACAGAGGGACCATGGGTGGCTTGCGCTGCACCGCCCACAGCTCCAACCATACACCCCATCTGCATTGTAAACCTGAAGGAATAAGACCGGGAGGCACGTGGATGGGAGCCAGGTTTCATCAACGGAGCCGGTCCACACTCCTTCACAGGCAAACATAAGCACGCTGTATTTGGGAAATCAAGCGCACACAAGGCGGTGGCTGGACCGTTGTCCGTTCCACACTGAGTGCATGGAACCGCTCTTTGAGCCTAGCACGGCCACAAGAACCGTGCACCCCGTCCCCTCCAGCAACGACCAACTGCCTCCTGGAGCCAGTATGAACGATGTAGTGGGTAATAGACAGGTAGGCACCTTGTCAACATACACATCAAGCGCAACCATACTAGGGATATCAAACAACAGCCATTCACTTTAAACGACAAGCTGAAATAAAATAAATCCAGTAATGCATACAGATACAGTGGCATAACTCTTCGCCAAATTACCATATGAAGTAATTTGGTTAGCAACAAATCGGTGATAAGTAAGAAATGTCCACAAGTTACTTAAAATGCTACAAACGCAACAAAATTACCGAAGATAAGCGCAATTAGCGTAAGCAACGTGGCCAGTTAATAGAACATTATTCAGGGAGGCAGAACAAACCAAATAAAGTGGAATGAAATTTATCCAGCTTAAAAAGACCTAGTTTAAGTGTAAGTTTGTCTAGCCTAACTGCATTGAAGAAGCATTAAGAATGCAACATCAGCCTCAGCATACATACTTACATACCCCTTCGAAAAACATACACCGTTATGGCAAACGTATCCAAATTTTGCACATTCTTGATCACGCATTGTTATGTCAAAAATGATCATGCCTGTAAAGGCGTGCCTCGTCTTGTCGAGAATAAAAGCTTTATTTATTTGTGAAGTATGGTACGTGTCTAACGAAAACATGTTTCCAGTGAGCTCATTATGCCTTACGGAGTCTACAACTTTCTTTACCTGTTCTAAAGACTTAGCAATTCACTTTAGTACTGAGGTTTCTAGCTTGGTGTGATCACTACCTCACTTTTTAATGATACTAGCTAGTCATACATATCCAATATGAGTCTCAGTGAAAGTCTGCATTTTTGGTGTGTCACAATGTCTTAGAAACAAATCTTCTCAAAATATGTTTTATGCACCAGTTTTGGTAACTTTTCAACAGTTTTAACTGTCATTACAAATGAAGACTGAATGATTGAATGGATGTATAAAAAATCAAATAATCTAATAGAAAATCTGTACGCATATCACTTAAGCAAGCAATTGCACATTATGCTGGTGATTTTCTTTAGGTCAACAATTAATCATGACAAGTACGGTAGGACACAGTTGTGGTAAGATGCAGTACGTGAAAATAAAACTATACATTTAGAGTGCGTAAAAGAAAGAGTTTTGACAGATTACCATATGGTGGTGGCTAGGTTCGTTTAGACCTTTAAAGGAAAACTACTACAAGCGTATCCATGTTTGTTGACAGTCAATCCAACCAGAGCCTCTAAGCAATCCAATGCATCAGAAAATGCGATTTAACGCTCGTACAAACAATGTGTATTTTCTTTTAAGTAACCCAGCATCACTTAATAAAGTACAGTCAATCCAATCAAGCAGAATGTACGCAGCCACAAATTTAAACATGAGGTACCAGAGCGTGTAAGTCAGAGAGCGTTAAACGTGTCTTTCTATCTTTGTAAAACGTTTCGCCAACATGAGTAGACCAATATCCGTTTTGGAACAAAAAATATTCACTGGTATTTGACACTTAACCTCCTAAGTATTAATTATACACACTACCAATGGTTAAGTGGCGTTCGAAACAGCTTGTTTGTCCGAAAAAAGACGAGTGTTACACTGCAAAATTTAGCGGTGGCCAGAATGACCGACCGGGAGGATGAACGCCACACATCTCATTCAGACCACTCTGGAGAGTATACGTCTCAATGTCCCAAACTGACCTCATCAACATATTTGCATCCGATAAAGTTGGATGGTACGGGAATTTTTGTTAGCTACAAAACAAGGCATTAGGGAGGATCGCTGCTTGCAAACCACCACAATTGGAGCAAAGTGATTGACTTGACCAAGGTTCACTTCAATGCGAATCACCGTCCACCTTGAGATTGCACGTTGCAATCCCATGACGCCATGTTCCGTTACGCTGAATGAAATGGGTACTATTTGTAAAGTAGTGAGTAGGAGGGAGATTTATTGTGTATTTTGAGACGATTCATCGCAGCTAGACTCTACCAGACGGCCATCACACGCTAGCCGGCCGTTTCGTCGTATTGAGACTTGTCAGTAGCGCGCACCCGCCGGATCCGAACCCATGATTTTACCCTTAGGAGCCAGCGGCTTATGCCACTAATATTAGTCAGTGGTGAGATATCAATCATGGAGATCTGCCGCCGTCATTCATGGCTCAGTAGCATGAGTCGCAGACTTGTAAGAATGATGAGAGGATTGTCCTGTTCTCCGAGCCGGGCATTTCGCTTGCAGACGTTTTGTTACCAAACTAGGCAACATCTTCAGTGCGGCTATTCAGTCCTGATTCGCGGTCTCGCAAACCAATGTCAGATCCGAGTGACTATTGATTGTTGCCTGCTTCGAATGTCTGCCTTCGATCTGTTCACGTGAGTCGGTCGATTGAGCACCTCTTCTCCTTGTCGATCTCTTGCCTAATGCTGGCTTAACCTGCAGAGCTTCATAGACACCCTCCAGCTCCAGGTGTTTGTTGATGGAGTTCCGGCCGGAATGCCAGGCCACGAGGAACTCACGCGCTCTGCGGTTTCTTGCTTGTAAGAATGAGGTCATGGGTTCAGATCCGGTAGGATTCGGCGAGTGTGCGCTACTGACGGCACAGTAGCGCTTTCTAGGATGTGTGGTGGTTGTCTGGTTGAGTCTAGCTGCGATGAACCTTGTAAAATAATCTTTAATCGCGCTGCAAACATTTATTTGAATGATCCGTTCGTGTACATCTGATTCGCAGAATTTGATCTGGTAACACTCCGGAAAGCATTCGCGTATTCCTTGTGGGACGCGTGCATTTGAACACCGCCGAGTCAATTGTATTCTCTTGTTTCAAGCTGTGTAACCACTTTTCGATATCAGCCGTCTTGCATTTATCCATCTGCCGGGATTTCAAGCGATCGATGAAGAAGACATTCTTCTTATCGCTACAATCAGTTTCCTCCATTAAAACGACCCATATTCCTTTATCCTATGCGGTAGGGGGGGTTAGAACCTTCTGTGCTTAATTGCTGACAAGTACCTACGTTTACGTTTGTCCTTTTGGTGTTGGTAAGATGTCTCGACTAAGGGAGATTTATAATACTCCGGTGCTGAAGCCCTCGAGGGCGGGCGAAAGGATGGTTTGCGGCATCCACTTTCGGATCCGCCTGTCACTGTGGTCAGCCACAGGACGCCTGCGCCTACAGAGGGACCATGGGTGGCTTGCGCTGCACCACCCACAGCTCCAACCACATACCCCATATCCAGTGTAAACACAAAAGAATAAGACCGGGAGGCATGTGGATGGGAGCCACATTTCATCAACGGAGCCGGCCCACACTCCTTCACAGGCAAACACAAGCACACTGTAGTTGGGAATCAATCGCACACAAGGCGATAGTTGGACCGTAGTCCGCTCCACACCGAGTGCATGGAACCGCTTTTCGAGCCTAGCACGGCCGCAAGGACCTGCACACCGTCCCCTCCAGCAAAGACCAACTGTCTCCTGGAGCCAGCATGGACGAGATAGTGGGTAATAGACAGGTAGGCACCTTGTCAACATGCACATCAAGCGCAGCCACACCGGGGGTGTCCAACAACAGCCAAACATTTGAAATGACATTATCAAATAAAATATATCTGTTAAAGCAGACATAACTCTTCGCTAAATTAGCATACGAAGTAAGTTGGTTAGCAACGAATCCGCGATAAGTACAAAATGTCCATAAGTTACTTAAAAATGCTACAAATGCAATAAAGTTAACGAAGATAACCACAATTAGCGTAAGCAACGTGGCCAGTTAATAGAAGATTATTCAGGTAGGCAGAACAAACCAAATAAAGTGAATGAGATTTGTCTAGCTTAAAAAGACCTAGTTGAAGTGTAAGTTGGTTTAGCCCAGCTGCGGTGAAGAAGCATTATGAATGCAACATCAGCCTCAACATAGGGCGAAAGGATGGATACTTGGTAATACACATTATCAAATTGAACTTGCGGTTCCACCTGATTTGTAATACTACGGGGATTTTGGATCGATCGAAAGTTCTTCAACTCTTGGCTACTCCACGTGTAAGCAGGAACATTGTGATTACACCTTCGCAGGTCGTACGGATCTGCTACCGAGATGAGGTTTACCATTCATCCACTTACCCTGCAACTGTTCATATAACAGATGCTTCGATTCGCTTGTGCTCCTCCGCATGTAGGTCACTTAGTATGGCAGAGTGGAGGCACCGATTACGCTCGAATACATCGATTTTCGAATTGTCTGTGTTCCGTTCATTCAACATATGTCACTTCAAGGCTATATCAGCTGAACAGCTACCGTTGTTCATCCATCTATAGACGGAGGGGGAATACAAGGCATCCCTTCGCCCGTGAGCAGTTAAATGACACGTTAGACACTCCCGATTCCTACCTGTAGTCATGCATAGGACAGAGGGTGGGGAACGGTTTTCAGAGAAGATTGTATCAAGAGTTTTTTTTTAAGCTGAACGCTTCCATTTTCGTAATTCGGAGTTTCTCCGATGCATTTCGCAGTTATACTCTATCAGCAAGTCACCAAATGTTAAAGAAGACGACGGTTTCGAGCGTTTACGACACGTAAGCAATCCACTTTCCTTGCGATTCTCCGTTGTTTTACGAGACAGTGGCTGCTACTACGATATTTGCGATTGCGACATCCATCTGGATTGGGTAAATAACCACAATGTTTGCTGTGCGCGAACTATTTACTTGGGAAGCCACTTCCACCCCACACACCGCTTGGCACAATGGAGGGTTGGTCTTGTTGCATGCTGGCGTCCACTGACCTGCGTGCTTCGAAAAACAGGGTTATCTGGTCTTCCCTTCTGTGTGAATGAATGGCTGTGCATTACTGATTAGCCTCGAAGAACGAGCGGCTCCGAGGTTTTTCTGTGTATCTACTGATTACCTCATTGAGTACGGTTTTGTGCAAAATCTACTGAAGCTGTGACATCACTAGTTTTGGTGGAGGATTGACGGTTCATATATATTCGTGTTGATACTGAACGAACCGATCCTTCATTTGATCTTCTGTTCTGATGAGATTTCGGGTCATTGTCTTTACGAAAGCCTTATACTTTGTCGGTACCATAAAGGAGCGACTTGTATTTTTTCACTTTTTATTTAGAATTAGTCTCTTTTGTTGTCAAGTTATTATGCCTGATCCTAACCTTCAAGTCTGCATTCGTCAGTTAATGATTTCAGTCATTAGGGTGCACCAATAGGGGGCTTTTCCGACTTTGCGCAAACCGTTAGTTGCCAACCGGTTACCGTCTTTCATCCCAGACACGTACCCCATACAAAGCAGACTTTTGGAAAACGGGATCTACCTAACTATCTTATTTTGTGTTTGCCACTTTTGTCTATATTTCCCCATACTATCTTGTGACTGAGGCGATTCTTCTTTTTCTTTTCGTTCGTTTCATTTATTACAGATCTGGTTGATAGGCGAGAAGGCTAAAGATGTCTCGTTCCACTTTTGTGATGTTTGTGATCTACCAATTGTGATTTACGGGCGTTTGGTAAGTCTCAGTGCTTTAATTGTCTCTAATTCCTTTCTATTTAGCTTCCCTGTAAGCACGTTCTGTGTTACACATGCGCCATGAGCTCTCCCACTAAATGCACCAGGTAAATGGTCCACTTTTTTATTTACTTATCCTCTTTGTTTTTCTACCGACTGAAAACAGACTCTATCTGCACTCCATCATTTTTCTAGATGTCAGAAGCCTGTTCAGACAATCGAACGCTGTTTAGTCGGTGGTATATTCATGTGTTTTGAAAGTGACAAGTGTCATCGGACATATCTTAGCCAGCGCGACCTTCAGGCCCACATTGACCATCGTCATAAGGGAGGAATATTGACAGTGGCCACTTTAGATTCTGCATCAATCCCATTCGACGTGTCGGAGAAACAAGCGACGGTCGAAGTTGGCGCTGGCGATATACAGTTCCGTGGAGGAAGTCAGCCAACTCAAGGGCCAGTATCTAAAGATTCTGTACCAACGCCTCGGCGTCCACAGCGGTCAACCGGTCCTTCTGTGCTGACAACTATTTCCTCTTCCGGTCCTACTATTGGATTCACCAGTGTCAATAAAGCTTCTGGCCTGCTCCCCCTTCCAAAACCAAATTCAGCTCGCCCACCATCTTTGACGCAATTTCGGCAACTATTGTCATTTAACACTCCTCCGCCTCCTATCGGGCCACCTTCAATCCCACTTCCCTCAGTTGTGAATGCATCCATACCGCCACCCTCGGTCCCACCGCCTAACCCATTGAATCAGCCTTTCAGCGCAGCTAATGCTGTGGCTGCGCTAGCGGCTGCTACGGCAGCAGCCCTGAACACCCACTCAACAGGGCAATCTGGAGTACGTATTCAACCCGAATCTTTGCTATCATCAAGTCAAACCGGTATAAACTCTACAGGAGCGTTACATGTGAGCCTTTGGTTTACAATAGTGTTCTCGATAACTTGCTCTTCATTCGAGTCGAGCCCATCGGGTTCTATTATATCTATATCTATTGTATCCGCGCATGCTTAGAATTAAAGTTTTCATGCTCTACTGAAAAATAGTCATTTCTGTGATGGAGACTGGGCCTCTCGTCACTTTATACCACCCCAGAACTTTCTGCTCAACTTTTCCATATATGTTTGCATTGTGGGACATTAACCGTCCGGTATCCTTAAGGATCAAAGGCTTTCCCCTTAACTCGAGGGCGCGGATTCCAGCCTTGTGTAGGGGACTGGGAGACCCTCGCAGTATCCGTAGCCCACACGCGACTGCTGGTGGTTGCGCGGCAGCGAAGCGTCGGTACTGCGTACCGGCGTACTGCTGATACCTTTTTTCTTTTCTACGTTAGCTGAAGTGTGTTTCTCACCCCCAGCTAACGTGTACTGATGATGATGACGTCTCTTCCCACTATTCTATATCTACCTGATCCATCATTCGACAGTCGTATGCTAGCTTATCGCACATCTCCACGGTTTCTAGAAATAATACACAGTCTATTTTTCCAACTTAAGAGGCCAGCCTTAGAAACGGTTTCCTTCTCTACGCATCATATCGCACACAATTGTTGTCCAGGCTATGTAGAAGGGAAAATTGACCATCCACTTTGCGGTGAAAAGATTCCACAAACTATCATATGACGTCTGCTTTACGCCCATAAACAGTAAGCGGCTTACTGACCATGTTCAATGAGCGAAGACAATGGAACTGGGCTCGAACGCGGCGCGATGCTTTGCATACTTCATCTATCCACTGAATTATACTGATCTGTTCACACGAGCACATTAAGGTTTATCCTTACCAGGTGGTCAGTGGTTACAGGTCATCTACGTAGTACAAATTTGTGTGTGTAAGGAAATTGACCACTATCGTGTTCTTGTTGCTTTTTACTTAGACTTCAGCATGGAAAGCTTTGGCAGAGTATGATGTTCCTCCTGCTGTCGAGGTTAGATCGCCCTAGCGGTATCCATCTCACAGCTGACTTTCTCATCAAACTTTAGTTCCGTTCTGCAACGTAACTTCAAAAATTATCGCCTCTCCTCTGCTTCATAAAGCAAGGTGTATACGCGACTTCAAGATGGTACTGATGCCTTCTTTCTTTTCCCCTCGTTTTTCTTACATCCCTCTTGATCCCTCTCACTAGCCTTCCTTCTATGGTGCCCAGTGTTAGTGATGGCAGCCACAGTGCTTCCGGAGTTCCACTATCCGCACCACTGTCCCCGACACTCAGTCAACAGTCCCTTATCAGGCCACGTTATTCGGTAAGTCCGTGCCCTAAGACAAGTCAAGAAACTGCACTTACACATGCACACTTGATGCCCTAGCTGTGTTAACATGTGTCTATTTTTCGAAACTAGGATTCGTGAAGTTCTGATTCGTCGCTATAGCTCCCAATTCACATAGGCTAACTTTCAGTCCGGGAAAGCACCGGACGGCCGTTTCACCATAGTGGTGCTCATTCCATCGATCCCTTTCATGGAATCGAACCTATAACCGACAGCAGTTTGTGCTACTAATAAGCAGGTTATGCCACTGAGTCATGGGGAACGTAGACTTGCAAACTGACTGAAATATAGCGCTACTTATCTTCCACTGCGATGTAGGTTCCTACCATCGCAGAGGACAGTGGCTGACCTCCAGGGGTCACGACGACGCACTGCACTGCGGCTCTGTACACGTACCATTTGTATTGATGTACACAGCTATACATCATAATACAACGATCACGAGTTTAGGAGAAGTGCGAATTGTTCTCAGTACTCTGACTGATTGGCTTTTTGCTAACGGCTATCGTGCCATCTTTTAGGCAGCGTCACTTAAGTGTTCACCGAAGGGGCAGCGCTTGTGCGTTGTTGCCGTTTGTGTTGCAACTGACTGCCTTTCTGATACTACCAAAGATTTCTTTAACTACCGGTTTAGCACGCTGTTTCGCGGCCCTGCTCACTTTGAGGTGTTCCTATTTCCTGGGGATGTAGCTTCATAAGTGAGCCGTCTAAATTTCTCGGAAGCTCAGTTTAGTGGAGTTATATTTTGAACGTATGGACTATGACTGCTGTCTGTCGCAACCTTACTATCATCAATAGTTGTTTCTATGAAACACTGTTCTTGGACCTTAATTAACTAATTCATTGATCTTTTCAAACTTGGGTCGGGTTTGGAGTACCCGCTGTCTAGTTTGATTGCAACATGCAATCTCTATTGAGACCTGGCGTTACTTTGCAGTGGGCCTCGGTCATCTTAATCCCAAAGACCGCATCCGAAGTGGAGATGTTTCGGTGTCGCTGACACCACATGACCGGCTTCGTCCTCTTTTGAACTCATCATGTAGAGCTAGCCCAAGCTGGAGTCTGACTCGGGTGCTAATGGTTAACGGCTGACGCCTTGATCACTATGCCACTAAGATCCGTGAGCAACGCTTGGCACAGCGGTAAGCAATTCAAAGTTTTTGTGTACTTGCCGTGTGGTTGAATTGCGGCACGCAATTTCTGTTGTGCCCTCGGTTCACCTTGAACCAAACCTCGGTCTTTCCAGTCACCAGGATTGCATCCGAAATCATTTATTTTTGGGCTGCTCGAGAGCCTTTTCCACATGGATAGTGATATTCAGCTGCGCATCTGTTCTCCTGATGTCTACGCACACATCGATCAATGCAATATTACGCAATGATGACAGGTATTCGCTTTGCCGTCGCTTGTTCTCCAAAGCATGATTGCAGTACAAGCACCCGAGCAACCGGAGTCCACATACATCTGAATTGATGTGCATGGTGCACAAAGAGGAAACTCTATGGAGTGTCCATGTCACAATATTGCGTGGTGCTTGTTATTACAGTGCTTGGTCCCTATTTTGATGCTTGTTCTCCCTGTTTCTTCACCGTTGTTGATGTTTCGCAGTGAACGTTTTGGTCTTTCATCTGATTCTGGTGATTGGTGAGAAACAAGCGATAGAAATAACTGTTCTGCATGTCGGACAGTGGCCGAGTGGTCTGCACCTTTGGTTTGCAACCATAAGATCACCGGTCCGAATGCGCATAGGGATGGGCGTCATCGCGGTATACTCAGCCCGCGCGCGACTGGTGGTAGTCGCGCGGCACCGAAGCGCCGTTACGGCGTACAGCTGACACATTATTATTATTATTATTATTATTATTATTATTATTATTATTATGGAGGTGGGACCTGCCCCTATTACATGGACTTCTCAATTCTTGAATTATCACCCCTATAACACAACTCCGAGTAAGGTTAGAATGTAACATAAAGCAGAAGATTGATAATTATAAAGCTCAGTCTGTATTTCTTCGACTTCCGTGTAGACATGGGAGCCACGATGCACATATAACCGAGTAAAGCAGGAACATACGGGGGGGGGGCTTGAGAGCGGTTTTTTTCTATGTTCCTCCTTTCACGATATTTTGCTTACATTGGTTTTAACACATTGACTTTTATCATTGAGTGCAGCATATCTGATGTTTCGGTTGTCGAATTTCTGAGCAACTTGTATCTGGACCCAACAAGGTGTCGGTGTTTTGGGTTGGTCATTGCCTATCATCTAGGAATAGTTTTCATTTTGTGGGTGTGATCCACAGCCCGAGAACATCTGGTAGTCGGTGCAGATTATCTGCTCAACAACACATGACAATTTTATAACCCGTCATAAATTAGGGTACTATCGTTAGCATTCTCCAAGTCGATGAGTCGATCCCCTGCAAGCCACCGCACCTTTCACATCAGGTCCGATGAAGGAAGTCTTCACAATTTGAATTTGACAAGGAAAAGGGAGGAGCGATGATAACCCGGCATTTTATCCGCATGCTATGCCTCTCACCACAATTGTCCCCGCGGATGTTGCATGGTTGTTCCTTCGGGCGATGGCCGAATGGATTCCGTACTTGCGTTGTAATCCAAATGTTACGGTTTCCAATCCGCATTGGCATGTGCGACTCCGCAGTACACCCTGCCCTCACACACGACTGGGGGCAGTGGTCGCGTGGCACCAAAGCGTCAGTAAAGTCTACCGGTGACTTGCTTCCTTTGCGTATATGATGTCTTACGAGTTGTTTCCGTGTTTCTTTCTGTTAAACCCCAATCATCTTTATTTTCTTGATGTTTAGCTTGTGTTCGCATGTTGGAGTGCACCATGTATGGCTCATTCCCATCTGATTTCCCTTTTCCATCACGTTACTTGTTGCACACCACACACACGTTGAGAGGCTGCGTGCTCACTGCCCACCCGCTCCACACGCGGCTTTGACATTCGGGGTGTTCTCCTAATCCCATCTTTTTGCACCATAAGTGAGATTTCGCTCGTCATTTTGGACCATCTTTTGCCTATGTGTCTGGCGTTTGTCCTTCTATACTCTCAGTTTAAGTGAAGTTAACTTTTTTTCTTTCAGCCGCACGCCACGATTATAAATGGGCCAAGTGACTTTAGCAACAAGTGACTTCGACTTGTCTCCAGCTCGCTAAATTATTGCTGATTCGCTCACCTCAATGGCGGTGAGCTAGTCCGGCAGAATACTCCTATTTTTTGTGTGGTTTGGTACTCATTGCGTCTGCGTTTTCCACAACCGCTCACCTTGTTGACGGCATGAAATGGGTTGCATCTAGTCTGAGTATATACCTGAGAATCTGTATCCCCACACTGGCTTGGTTAATAACTTGCGTGCCAACTATCTGTCACGTGTTTGACCAAACCAATACCAAAAACAATTAGTTTCCCGTCAGCAAATTGGAAAGCACGTTGGGTAGACGATTTTCATCGGATCCATGTGTTTTCAACCATGCCTTCAGTGTTGGTAACTATGTATGGGAATATGCAATTGTTGATGAGGGTGGGGGGGGGGGAAGTTTTGCTCCCTACGCCCATGGCAGTCTGAACCTGACTGACATTTGTTTACTCCGGCAACGACCTCGACGAAAAGGGGGGATTTGTCCTTTCAGTCCGGTGACCTAGGGTCGACAATTGTTTATTACGTGAACGCATAGCCTGATCTGGACATGGTTGCTGCTCAGCCGTCTATCGTAGCCACTTTTGGCTCTAGGCGACAGAGATCAGACGTCTGGTAGTCCTCATTGTAGCACCGTCACTTTCAACGAACAACTCTAAGATGAAGATTGATTTTGTGATACTTTTATTGCCCATATCCTTCCCACAGTATATCCTCCACTTCCGGATGCAGTACACTGGATTCCTTCATCTTGTGGTTTTCCCCACACAACAATTGGTATAATCTCTGATCCTTTTTCTTCTGACTTGACCGTTTTCGTTCCTCATGTATCTGATGTGGTGATCGATTACTGGTTACTGGTTTGAAGCAGCGAGTAGAGCTTGCGTTGTGTAGCTGCATCAATCGTCCTTCATGGACATGTACCCGTTATGTTGTGTTCCGCTCTGCATATTTTGCGTCGGTGTTTGCCAAGGAAGTTTTTAAATTCCGACACTGATTTTGCCTCTACTATGTGCTGCGGCAAGTCGTTCCATACATCCACCACTCTGAGTTCGAAACAGAGTTGGTGAACGACCCGCTTTAAATCTGGTACGACAAGTTTATACCTGTGTCCTCGTGTGTTGCTTGGTGTGCGCAGATAAAGCAGTGGTCTCAACATAGGGTAATCACCCAGATGTAATATCCGGTGAGTCATGATTAGGTCTACTCTCATTCGACGATAAGCTAGTGTGTACAGCCCTAGTTTATTATACCGGTCTTCGTACGGTACACCTCGTAAGTTGGGAATCAGCCTGGTGGCTACATACTGCACTCGCTCAATCTTTTCTACCTCGCCCCGGGTGATAGGACAATACGCGAGAGAGCCATACTCTAGCACTGGTCGTATTATTGAAGCCAACGCCAGTTTCCAACAGGTCACTGCGTTCGCATTTAACACACCTGGCCACCTGCTGATGATTAATAGTGGCCACTCTGTGCCACTCCTGGTTCAGTCTCCGTTTACGGGCAGTTGACTACCGTGTTCTGGGTGCGGTCAAACAGGTACACTTACTTTTCCTCTCTCTTACCCTTTCTCATTTTTATTTAGCATGTTGGCCTGGATTTGGCTGCTATATCCAACGCGCTCGCTGGTAGAACCCCTTCATGGAGCCAAGCAATCAGAGCGGCTCACAAATTAGGATCCATCAGAGCTTCGAACGTTGGAATCGGTACGTCTCCTGCTCCAACACCAAATACTTCCAGCGGTTCAGTCAACATTAGGAAATTTCCTTTTGGATAACGATCTGTGCCCTGCTTCCCTGACAAACCACAAGAGGCTAAGCCTGTGGACGTTGCCTGGTTACTTGTATTCCGTTTTTTGTTTATTGTTTCATTTTCGTCCCGTATTTATGTCGTTTTTTTGCTGCTTCCACTGTGCACAAACGCTCGCAAAGTGTACTGCGTTTTCTTCCTGGATTTCTGGGTATTTTAAACGCTGTCGATCATTCCGAACAACTTTCATCCTAGAAGCCACACTAGTGGCATTGTCATGTTTTCGCATGTGCAAGTCGCACACCTTAGTTATTTGGCTTACTCTTCTTCCTTGCAGATTCAGCCCCAATATCTGTGTCATCTGCAGTTCTGTGTTCGACCATGTTCCCAATTTGTATGTCACTTGCTGTAATCTTTCATCTCCCATACTCTCGTCCGAAAGTTAGCCTGTATTTTCAAATCTTTTGTGAGTACTTTGAAAACTCTGTACAGTTAACAAAAATCGAGTTTTCTTTTCAACAGTCTATGAATAGACATAGAGCCATCAGAAACCATGGAACACAAAAGAAGGTGCAGACATTGCAAAAGAAAACACAACACATTAAAGTCCATGGTTTCGTCAGAAGGCGAGATACTACCCGATTTCCAAAGCCGAAGTAGGGTGTTGATTTAGGGGATACCACCCCGAGACTTGGGCTGAATAGCCTGCCCGCAAGGCAGCGGAGCGAATTCAGGGGATCGCGTCCATTGGGAGCCGGTGACTGATTTCTCGATTCATGCGCCTTTTGTTTGTTCCTTTGTCGAACACGGGCCCAATGCTCCCCAGAAGTACAGCACAAAGTTGCTGGAATACAATGCTTCGGCAGGATGAAGCAGGAGGCAGTGACTTTATTTAGTGGCGAGTCACGTTCACCACGTCACAGTGTTGTTAAACGGACATATGTGGCTTTTTATAGGGAGAACGCTTGCCAGGCGACAACCCACCACGTCCTGGAACACTGCCGCCGAACCATTTGCTGGAACGGGAAAATCCCGAACTACCCAGCTGGCACCACGAGGTTGTTCGGCAACTTATTGAATTCCCGTTTGTGTTGTGCCTTCATTGTGGCATTACCACTACATATGTGCACTGGTAATCCACGTTTCCGCGCGGTCAGATGTAAAAGATCAAATCATTTGTTAACTTAAGCTCCCCTAATGCCTATTAGATAACTTAGGAAAAATCATCTCGCAACTTGAACCTGGCCGTTATTTGATTGCGATTTTTCGCTCACGGTTCGCCTACCTCCCTCGTCTCGAAATCCTCCACTACACTTCTCTCAACGCCACCCCCATCAGGCACCATCACGATCGCGGTCTCTTGTGAGAGTGGTCATCCATCCCCATACACTCTGGTGGGTTACTTAACTGGAACGTGATGCTGCACTCGAGTGCTGCATCAATCTTATCACTTAGGTTTGTTAGCAGTGCAATGATTTTAGACTTATGTCTGATGAAGTGGCGTCTGCTAATCTAATAACGGGATATTGGAGTCTTTCCAAACACCTCTCAAGTTTTATAACGGTTTGTTAGTTTACTTTACGCTGTCTGCTCATCGTATTGGCTTCAGTAATTGTTGCCTTGCGATTTCACAACGTTGGGTTCACCCAGCTGTTTGAATAATTTCTCTAGAGTGGTCCCATTATTTGACATGCGCTTTGCACCTTCAAAGTACAGTGTTGTTGCAGGACCACCACGATGACCCATGCTAGCGAAGAACTCGAAGTGGTTGATCAATTCACTTGCATTGGCAACTGCGTCAACAACGATAGGTGCCTTAGTACTGTAGTTATTTCAGGTATTTCAAAAGCTACAACTGTCTTCCTGGACACGCAACATCTGTGGCGTCAGATAGGGGTTTCTCTCGGTCTGAAGGGCTGTGTTTGCAAGGCCATACTGAGAGCCGCCCTACTCTACGGGAGCACGACTTGGCTGCTTTGGTCTGTTATCGGATGGTGCCGACATGTCCACAGTGATTATGTACGTAAGCGAGTGCTCGACAGTGATAGCCAAGCTAGTCCCTTAGAAAACAGGTAGCACTGGATAATTTGCATGGGTTTGGGTGCTTATTACATATGCCTGGTCACCACTTACCGAAGAGGAGCTTGTTACATTTGCCTACTGTAGGGCCACAAGGCTCGAGATGAGCGAAGGTTAACTCGGTAGCGATAAATGAAGTCTCTTACTAGCAGACTGGGTGCCGTCGGTCCGTCTCGCCTTCCAGACTGGAGTCCACGTGACTCGACTTATACTTGGCTTGAGACATTACAGGACTTGCCTCGCAGTCGACACCAGTGGTGTGTCTTCAGTCCTCTCGTAGTCAGAATGCTTGTTTAAAATGTGTTTGGTGTTGAGTTGTCTGCGGGGTAATGAAAGGCGCAAGGAAACTGTCCCCCATGCCGCGTTATCTTTGCACTATAGCCAGCTGTTTGTGATGGTATATTGTCGACAAGGTGTAGGCGCCTTGACTCTGAACGTTACATTAGCGCATTAAAGTTTCACGTTAGGTCCCTCTTCTGCCTCCTACTTATTATTCTCCCTCTCGTAGTGTATTGCAAAGCATCAGTGCAGTTGACTGATGTAATGCTTTTCTCCACCATGGCTATTCGTTGTAAGGGTCAACTTGCCGAGATTCACTTGACCGCGATGGGCCGGAATTCTGCGTCATCCCATTGAGGGCCATTTTTGTAGGCTATCCCTTTCTCGTTATTTGCTGCTGGACGTTGTGATATTATTCAGTGTGTCAGTTTCCAATTGCTCGATGTAATCCACTGTCAACAAGTCGTATTCTCATTGTCACTTCATGGCTGATCGGGAGCAGATTTTATGCGAACGGCAGGCAGGCGGTGCGGTTACACACCAACCAAAATTTCCGTGCTCTTGGTAGGGTTTGCACACAGTTCTTTTTAGATGTATATGTTCCATTATGTCCACTGAACGACGTCTATTTGCGATTCCCTCTGAAAAGTTCGCCAGTATACGTTGAACTTGTCTGTTAGCTCCTTCGGAATCTGTTCCCACCATTTGGACACATGTTCAAAGTCGCATATCATAGCAAGTCGCATGTCGTTTCTGCCTTCACATCACAACTCGCTCGACAATCCTTGTGGATTATTGGCTTGTAGGGCCTTTGCACGGTCCATCATTGTCTCGCAATGTAACACCCACCTCGCACGTCTATTGCAATCTTTACGCACCGCAGTGATTTTATCCAGGCTATGACCCATCGTTTGTAATACTTTCTGACAATATCGCTATTACACTTCACTGTTTATTGTGGAGAATCTGTGGTATTCATAAATACTAGCTCCAGATGGAACGCGTGATCGAGCACGGATACCGAAAGTCAGACATGCCGGACACGGCGAACAGTTAAAGATGAACGAAATGAGCGTCAGCGCCGTGACTTGCCGAAGGGGAAAGTGGTGAGTAGGGTGTGCGTGGACATTGGCGTGGGATATGCGACAGACAAGAACTACTAGTGTACAGTCGTTCGGTAATATAAACGTACATAGATTCGTCGCAGTTAGATACAGGCAGACAGCCACCACACATCCGGGCAAGCGCTAGACGGCCATTTCGTCCTGTTGGGACCCATCAGTAGCGCGCACACGCCGAATCCTGCCGGATTCGAACCCACAACCTTACTGTTGCGAGTCAGTGACTTACGTCACTGAGCCATGGACGACGGCAGCGGACCACCATGGCTGATATCTAACTGCGATATAGCGCGGCTCATCCTCCACTGTCTTGCATATTACGAATGTGCAGACGACAGGGCCGGCCCTAGAGCAACGACTTCCTTTTCCCGGCGCCACCAATCGAGGTGGCATGTAAACTGCTAAGGTGTCTACTGATTAGTTGTAAGTAGCAGGGGATTTATTATGTTTTTGTGTAAATTCTTCTTTCTGGGTTCTGCAAATGTGAAAACGGCTATTTTCAGGGCTAGCAACTTTTCAGTGTACATTCACACGCTCCTCACAACACCAATGCTTGACAAAGATTCAAGCGTGATTCGTAGTTTGCGGTTATTTGTCCATACCGGGTACCTACTGTTCCACATGTCTGCTGTTTGTTTACATGTTTGTTGACTGCGTTTCGAACGGCGTATCCGAGTAAATAAACCAAGGAGCTGCGCTTTGTCCCTGTCATAATGTGCTCCAATCAATTCACCTTCGGCAATGGTTAATCATTTATGTCGTACATATAAATTACACATGCATATCCATGGCGGGTGGACAATGAATTATAACGTGTAAAGCTGTGATTGTTTGACAAATCCCGTAGGATAACCGATGTGGGAATTTTTAAGCTAACTGTTAGAAAAGTCTCTATTGACAGGGAAAAGGGAAAATTTTGAATTAAAATGAATCATCAAATTATTCACCTAAACCATGATGCAGGTTTCCTCACCGCTACGTTACGGAGAGTGCCGGTGAGCACGCAGTTTGGTTTGTGTTATTCCGTCTTCCGAGTAAACCGGACAGTACCATTTAATGCAGTTGCGCGTTTTTATTTGAAAAGCATTAATGTAGGGGCAACAGTGATGTGATTTGGAAGAATCTTCAATGCTCAGGACACCCGAACAGAGAAAAAGTTTTGTCGGCAATCAAATAGACTGTAATGAGTGGCAAGTTCAAGCTTGGCGCCTGGGATACTAGTCGGAACTCAATGACACGTAAGAGACATGTCAAATATGGGACAGTATAGAAGTTCGAGGCGACTGAACCCAACGTATATTGTGCAGACTACAAAAATCGGAAGCGAATCAACCAGAGCGAGAAACGGTGCAGCAAGGCACTAAGCAAAATGCTTTATGTCAACGGATGTGCCGTCAGAAAACAAGTGAACGTTTTGAAGGTTAAAACAACCGTAAAATCCAATGTTACAAAATACTGAAACAGCGTGTTTTCTGGTACACTACAAGGGCCTCCCTCTAGAAGGTTGAAGGATGGAAGCCTTCGACGGAACTGTTAGTGGGGGAAAACG